AGAACTGACAGAGGTGGAGAATTCATGTCTAAGGAATTTTCAAACTTCTGTAGTCAACAAGGTATCTCTAGGCAATTAACAACTGCTTACACCCCCAACAGAATGGGATTGCTGAGCGCAAAAACCGCACTATCATGAACTATGTACGCGCAGTGCTTCATGAAAAATAGGTACCAAAATCTTTCTAGACTGAGGCAGTAAGATGGTGTATTCATATTCAAAACAGTAGCCCCACCACTGCCATAAATCATGGAACATCAAAGGAGATGTGGAGTGGACTCAAACCACGTGTTGATTACTTCAGGATAGTCGCATGCATTGCCCATGTTCATGTTTCCAACCAAAGACGAAGCAAGTTAGATGACAAAAGCCACCGTGAGTGATGAAACGAAATCTTATAAACTTTTTTATCCTATCACCAAAAAGGTTATTATAAGCAAGGATGTGATATTTGAAGACAAAAACTAGAATTGGATGAAGGAAGAGCATAATCTACGCCTACTGCTCTTGATATGAATGGCCAAGGTGAAGAAGAAAGTGGCCAAGAAGAAGAAGAAGAAGAAGAGAGTGACAATGTAGGGGTCACCCCTCCACATATAGCAACCATGGAGTCTCAGATGCAACAATCAGATTCCACAAATTCTTTAGTTGAAGGAAGGGCGACAAGGACTCGACGACAACCTTTATGGTTAACAGATTATGAGACTAATCTCTGCATAGAAGAGGAGGATGATCTACTGGCAATGATGATGACAGATTCTAAGGACCCTCTCACATTTGAAGAAGCTAGAACTAGTCTGAAATGGCGAGAGGCAATGGATACGGAAATAGAAGCAATTGAAAGAAATAACACATGGAAACTAGTTGATCCACCTGATGGATGATACCCATTGGAGTGAAGTGGGTATTCAAAACAAAGTTAAATGAAAAAGGTCAGATAGAAAAGCATAAAGCCAGATTGGTGGCCAAAGGTTATGCTAAAGAACATGGAATTAACTACACAGAGGTTTTTGCTCTTGTTGCTAGGCTTGATACAGTGCGAGTATTATTAGCTATGGCTGCTCAAAATGCATGGGAAGTATTCCAACTTGATGTTAAAAGTGCATTCTTGCATGGTGAAATTCTAGAAGAAATTTATGTTCATCAACCTGCTGGATATATCAAGCAAGACCGAGAGGGACAAGTTTACAAACTAAAAAAGGCTCTATACGGACTCAAACAGGGCCTACGAGCATGGTACAATAAGATCGAAGCATACTTTGTCAAAGAGCAATTTGAACGTTGCTCTAATGAACACACCTTGTTCACGAAAAAGGTTAGAAAAAATATTTTTATTGTTAGCCTTATGTAGATGATCTAATTTTTACTGGGAGTAGCAAAGATATTTGCGAAGACTTCAAACATTCAATGCAACTAGAATTTGATATGACAGACTTGGGCAAAATGAAACGCTTCCTTGGCATCGAGGTAATACAGAACGAAGCAGGCATTATGCACGTAAAATCCTTGCACAATTCAACATGCTGGATAACACCTTTGTTAAGAATCCCATTGTACCGATAATAATATTATCTAAGGATGAAGCAGGAAACCTAGTCGATGCTACACAATTCAAACAAGTCGTTGGCAGCCTCATGTACTTGACAGTCACAAGACCAGACTTGATGTTTGGAGTCGGTGTAATCAACATATACATGGTCAATCCTACCAATGTAATTAAACGTATCTTTAGGTATCTCAAAAGGACCATTGAACATGGTCTCTTATATATACCAAAAAGGAAGAAAGATAAATTTCACAGCTTACAATGACAACAACTATGCATGAGATCCAGATGATAGAAGAAGCACTTCTGGATCAGTGTTTATGATGAGAACAACAATTGTATCATGGGCTTCAAAGAAACAGCCAATGGTAAGTCTCTCTACCACTGAAGTTGAATACGTTGTTGCAGCACACTGTGCATGTTTTGGCTCAAAAGAATTCTGAAACATATTGGAATAGAAGAACAAGAAACTACCGAGATTCTTTGTGATAACAATTCTACCATTCAACAATCTAAGAATCCTGTTTTTCATAGCCGAAGTAAGCATATTGCAGTAAGGTTTCACTTTCTCAAAGATTTAGTCAATGATCAGATAATCAAATTGAAGTTCTGCAGCACAAAAGAACAAGTAGTCGATGTCATGACTAAAGCCTTGAAGCTTGATCAATTTGAAAAAAAATCAAAAAGATGCTTGGGTATTCAAGCTTGACGAAGTAAGCTAAAGCTTAAGGGAGGGATTGTTAGATATTTTATGTTTTACGTATCAATAACGATTCCTATTTTATAGGATGTACTGGGTCAGTATTTTATTCCTTGATTTCTGCCTATAATGTTGTCATACAACATGTAAGTCCAGTATTCTGTTTTGAGTCTGTAGGCTATAAAAGTCAAATGTCTGTGCATCTGAATAAACAATTTTTTTACGCATCTATTAAGTTTACAACACTTACAACTTGATAAGCTATGTTACAATCTTATTCAGATGTGTAATCCCCTTATGCTTTCATACATGCTCTTTTCCATTTATCATGGTGGAGAGATTGACATACCATACTCATACCTAACTAGTCACTTGCACCAAAGGAAGATACAACTTTTATCATGATATGCTTCAACATAACTCTTATGAAATAATTTGTGGAGGTAAACATTCATGTTACATATAAAAAATACTAATGAAAAAATAACATTACAAATTATAATTCAATTTACCTAAAAGATAGGATTTAATTATATCTCTTGAAAGGTCTATCATATCTAGTCATTATGAAAAATAAGGTAGAGTTTTAAATTTTAATTTGGTGGGTCAAATATTATATATGTAACTTAATTTAAGTTTATTTGAAAAAACTCTTCATTCCTAATATTTAAAAAGAAAACCTACCTAAAGTAACATGCATACTAAAATATTAGATGAAGTATTATAATACTTATTTTTATAAATTATCAAAATATTCATATGTAGATTTTGTATACATAATAAAACTATTATACATTAATGTGTGAGAAAATAGAACAATGATAACAATGTTCTATTATAAACATATAATTATTAAATACAATAACTGAAATGGTGATGTAGACTTATTTTATTACCAATCATATTAAGAAAATAATAAATCTCCTTATCAAATTTTGAATGATGGCACATGTATTTGTTGCATAATCATAATTTTTTCATCGTTATTAAAAGAAATGAATAATTTAAAATGTTATCACTACTATAAATAAGTCATTTTACAACCTTAAATAAAGGATACAACAACAGTTTTAAAATAATAAAAAATTATAAAATTAAGATGGTTTTGACTCATCGTCATTAGTTACTCATTTAACAATGATTATTTTTATAATCGTCATCATATGTCAAATTTTTCTTCCATCGTAACAAACTCAAAAACCTCCAATTGCTCCTTCGATATTGCATGTTTAATAATTCATCAATGCTGGAAAAAAATTAAACATTATCCAATTCGACCTTCATCTTTGACCCATCTAATAGAAGTTTCTCTGACATAATCATTACTTTCTTGTTGGAACCTTAATTAACATTGGTGTTCTCCCTTACAACAACATTATACATGTTTGAAACATTCATAAAAGAGAGAAAGATGTAGAAAAAGAGGAGAAATATCTTATTTTATTGTTGTTCTTCCTTGTAGTGATGTTGAGAGTGTTGGAAGTGTTTACGCCATAAAATCACTTCATGAAGAAAAAAGAGTTGAATTATGATGGAGAGAGTGAAAAGAAGAGAATTGTAATAAGGGAGGGGAGGTGAAGGCAAGGAGAAAGAAAGAGAGCTAGTGGTATTAAGACGAAATGAACAAAATAAATAAATTGAGTAGTATAACAACTCATTATTGTAGAGGCCATCATTCTAGTGACTCTTACACCCACAATCTCAAGTAAAGACAATCTATACATATTAGTTTTATAAACGTTATCAATCATTAATACTATGATAAATGCATTCAATAGTTTGATTAAATTATGGTGTATGGAGAAAATATTTGTGACAATATTTGTATTCTCATGAAACATATGTTAGTGAATACACATTTTGCTACAATAATTTTATTAACTGTTGCATTTAGAATATTTTTAGGCTTCATTAAACATTTTGTCATATCAACAATCATAAACTTTTTATCATTTATTAATATACTAATATATGAATGATTTACCAACATATCAACTAAGTCATGAGTATGACTTGCACAAATTAACTTTACAATTCATTTTTTACCATTATTTACAAGTTTTCCTCTTAGTTTAAAGAAACACTCACTTTTTCTATTTTAGTAACAATTGGATGCAAGAATAACAATCACAAATTCAAATCTATATATAATCACTTGAGTCATTTGAACAAATCATTTCATTTAAGAAATATCTAAAACAACATCTACAAAATCATCACATATAATATTTATAATATGATAAAAATATTTTTATATAATTAAAATTTACTTCATCAATTATAAAAGCATTAATATAATTAAATAAATAATATCAACGTCATTCAAACTCATTAATATGTCTAGTTGATATAATATGTTATTCCTTAAAAACTCTTTATCCCTTCTAACTCTCAATTTTATAAATTATTTAATATATACATTCCTACAAAATTCACATTTTTTATTCTGAATTGAATAATTCAATATAACTTTTCGAATTATACAATCATGTTTCTAAATTATTGTATCCCGTATGAATTTTTAAATTATTGTACAAAGAGTTATAGATTGAGTATTCCATATTGTATTGAAAAAAAAATTGAATTGAGTAATCTAGAGTTTTTTTTTTTTTTTTTCAAAAACACCAATCCAAAAATTATTCCAAATTACATTGTTTTCAGAAAGTATGTTTACGGATAACCCAATCCAAAACTGTGTTTTCTGGATCATACGAATCAGAGTTAGTGTAAAAGATAAGAATTTAAAAATCATACCTCCGATTAGCAACCTTTTGCAACGTACGATGTAATAAAAGACTCAATCATTAATTAATGGTAACAGATGATGATATGAATTTTGAAGAGTTTAATGATTTTTGGTTGATAAAATATCACCACTCAAAATTAAATTATTTTTCTTTTTTTAATTATGAGATGGTGGAAAAAAAGTAAAAGAGTACGGGGAATGTGCCAAACAAATCATGGCTCTTCCGTAATCATTACTGGACAGATTTAGGAAAAGTTCCAAAGATTATAATAACTAAATTAAATAGTTGTTCACATTGGTTATAAAATGAATGGATAAAAGTTTTGTTTTTTGTTTTATTTACGTGACTCAAAATCACAATATTCAGAAATTTTAATTAGAATCAACGAATTAGCATATTTAAAATTATTAAAAATCAATCTAATCAAATCATGTAACAATTATAATGGAAAAATAAGTAGTGTAGTGCCATTTTATACAAGAAATTTGAAGAAACATACAAATTTTGAATTTTATAATAAAAATGCAAAACATGTGGTACTGAATTATATCATTTTCAAAAATATATTTTTTAAAATAATGACTAAAATATATTTTTAAACCCTGGAAAATTTCCGTCAGTATGATTTTTGCATAAACTTTTAGTCCTTAATATTTACGATTTTTTTCATTCAGTCCTTGAGAAAAAAATATCTATTTGCATTTTATCCTTTCCATTAAATTGATTCTTTTAGAAATAAATTTAGATTTAAGTTTTATCTGTAAATTATTTTTACTGTAACAACCAATGCATTTTTCACCATTCATTGAATATTGAAGAAAGATAATCTAATGACAATGACTAAATATAAAATACAAAAAAAAAAATGGTACTTTCAAACTTGGTTCATTCAGATTTTTTTCAGTGTTATTTGATGCCCAACATTTATGTTTTTAAGAAATAATGATGAAATATTGACCCTGAGTGTTTTTCCTCTCAATTTTTTCATCTCGAAAATCAAGAGGTTTCTGATTACTGTTTTTGAATTTGTAATATTTCAAAAAAATAAAAAACGTTTTAAATAACTATTTTATTAAAATTATTTTTAAAATTTTAAAAGAGTTTTCATATTTTAAAATTTAATCATTCTTAATTCACGCACAATAAATTATTGTCTACCAAATTTTAAAAATTGTAATGTGATATTATTCGAAGTATTTATTCACGTAACAAATTTTTACATCGAAATTACTTTTTATGACTCACAGAAAACTTATTTTATAAGAATCATTCAGTAATACCAACAATCGGTTATTACAAAAGTAAGAGATTGTGTGTCAGATTAAATTGAGTTGTATTTGAGTCAACTCAATCTCCTTAATGAATATATGAGAGGACGGAGGTAGGTCTATAAAATATTTTGAAAACTAGACTCAACTATTCTTTTCAAAATCAGTTGAAGCCATTTTTTGAAAATCCGATTTTAATATTTTTTAATATTTTTTAATTTTATATTAATTATAAATAATTTTAAATAAGAATTATTATTATATTTTTAGTAATTATTATTTTATCCTCTTTAATATATTTTATATTTATAATTTTTATTAAAATTTATGTTTATCATGATAGTAAATTTTATTATTATTTTTTTATAAAATAATAATATTATTAATAGATTTATTATATATTTATTAAATTATAAAAATATAATTTTATTAGATTGAGTTGAACCGATTGAATTTCAATTAAATCTTTAAATTTTAAACTCTTGTATTCATCTATTTACTAACCCATCGGCTGTTAAAAACATTGCATGATATAACAAAAGAGAGACAATCCCGTTATTCAATTGGTAGCCTTACACACGAATGGGTGTACTGATAAAATGGGCTAAACAGTTGACCCATTTATGGCTCGTTCGGGTTGGATAGGAGCTGAGCCCGACGGCCCATCAAAATCCTCTGTTAACTCTTTTTGATGAATACTGCAATGCGAAGATGCTCCAACATTAAGGGTTTAATATGAAGCACCTTTTCGCTGCTCCACCCCTTCTGCATTCCGTTCTCCTCCATAGCTGCTCTTAAGCTGTGTGTAGCGACGTTTCGTGGTGTTAGGGAAAAGTTGAAGGTGGTTAACGACGAGTGAGTGTAAAGTACCTGTTCCAAACGAAATGGCTCTTTCATTTTCTTTCTTGTTGCATTGCGATTCTTTCATCGGAAGCCTTTCATTTCTTTTATTTTTGCAGTTCCGGTACAGTTACAATTCCTTGACAGTGGGGTGAATATACTGTACAAGGAAAGCGAAATTGCTGGACACATAAATCACAGTTGAGCGAAATAGTAAACTTATTATGTGGAGCTTCTAGGCATTTTACGGTGAGCAGTAAATATTCCGCACAACATTATATAATGCCTTAATATTATTCATATGTGCTTTGACATCTCTAAGCTAAGCGCTAAGCGACATACAAGCTTAACATTGTGTTTCATAGCGGTTAGGGCGCTGAAGGTTATTAAGTCCCAGATAATGAATGTCATGACATCCTAATTGTCTAACGGTGATTAAAGAGGCTAAGCAGTATAAATCATAAGCGTTGAGCAATTTCAAACATTGCTCTCTTTATGTATTCCACTTAACGATTAACAATGAAGCTCAGCACAATGGGACGAGGTCAATCATTGTCATTGTATCGCGGAGCAGTTATATAGGGGTTGAGCGAATTAAACATGACACAGATTAGCGTCATTTACTTGGATTTGTATTTGGTCACTTGGAACGTGGTAAATCTGTGACCATTGTATGTAGAAAATATGAAATATGAATCAACTATAATATTCTGTGATAACAACTTGCACTTAGTCATTTAACTAATTTTCCGAAGAAATAACCATGTTGTTGGACTGTGTTAACCAAGTTTTTTAGATAGTGGTACCAATGACACTAATGTTAAGCCACCATGTGCCAAAGAAGGTTATTGGGGATTCTTTCCCAGTATTAACTGCATTACATGAGCAATTCATGGTGTAAAGTCACTTAACCAAATTTATGAAGAAATAACCATGTTTTTAACTCTATTAACCAACTTTTTTTTACAATCATATCACTCGACCTAGTGTTACCAATGACACTTATGACACACCACCATGCGTCAATGAAGGCTATAAGCGGTTCTATGTGCAATGGTCTGCCCAACCTCAACATTGACAACAAGCATTATATAGGGATCCTCTGATTTTATCTCTCAGCATCGATGGTATCGCTAAGCTTTATAGACACGGTGCATACACTGTCCCTTAAATGCTTAACTTCGACAGAGGTGCTTAGTGAAAAAAATAATAAGCATTGAGTTGCAGTACCCATCGCTCAACGATAATTGTCAACATATATATAGGGAGGCAATCCACTCAACAGTTATAAATAACGCTGAGCTGGAATTAACATTTTTTTTTTCTTCCTTGTAAACTGCTTAATTAGTGTTCAAAATCATATATATAACCCTTTTTACCTTTCAAGAAGCTCCACCATTAAATAAAATTATCTAACTTAAGCACAATTTAGTGAAAAAGGACAAGTTTGTTCCTAATTTTAACCAAAAATGACTGAAAATTTTTGATTTTGTATTTGTTCAAGCTTGATCCTTCTTCCAATTGATAATTGATAAAGAAATTGTAGCAACTTTATGTTTTTTTTCTTTTCAAAATTGGTCTTATTCCAGCATGGCCTCAACAACATTCTATGTGTTTTCTCATTTTTGTTTGCTCAAGTCATCCACCATTCATCAACCCAACTCATAAGAAATATCATTCTATTTTAAATCCTTTACATTGGTCCTTATTTGATTTAATATATTAACGCTACCTAAATTTTAGTAGGTTCTATTTAAACCTTAACCTATGATCTCAGGGTAGTTCATATGTTTTATAAAATAATTATTATTTTTTAAATAAAAATAAAAATAATATTATTTTATTAAAATATTTATATATTATAAATTAATTTAACAAGGATTTTATTTATTTTAAAAATAAATATCATAATAAATCTTTAATAATCATTTATTCTAAAATCTAATAATAAAGATTAATTATTTTAAATTAATAAATTACTAAAAAATAAATAAATTACTAAAAAATAAATAATGATAATAAGAATAATTTTTTAATTTTTATTTTGAGATTGAATGATATATTCTTTTATATTTTATATATTAAATAAAAATTAAATTTTAAAAATATATTTTTATTTTTATTTAAATATTTTTTAATTAATTGATTTTGTAAAAATATATTAATATTTCTAAAAAAAATCAATTAAACCAAATTTGATACGTTAACAGTTGATCAAACGTACCAAACTAAAAATTTTGTTCCGTTTAGCTTATCAAAATTTTTTTACTTATCAATCCGGACTGGTCTGTCCGATTTATTAACTAAAATAAATTTCCGATTACTCTCATTACAGTATTTCGTACTTTGTTACAAAATGGTCTTTTCATAATTTATTTTTGGATTGTTAATCTTCAGGATCCCATGTATTCTAAAATGCTTACAAATCACTCCCCGAATCCAAAGCGAAAAGTGTAATCCACTGTTACTTGGCATGAAAGCTCTTCAACATTGACGGTGACAGTTGGGTACCGTCGAGGTGCAAGGATGTGGAGGTGTCGTGAGAGTGCTATATAAGAATGAGATAATTAAAAAAAAAAAAAAAGGTTGCGACGTATTTTCGTCTTTCACCTGAAATAATGGGATGGAGGTGAAAGAGATGGGTTGCAAGAAGCAAAAGCTGAACATAAAAAACTGTATATATTTCACTTGCATCAAGAGAAGAACTAATAAATACTGCAAACATTTATCTCTTCTTCTTGCATATTCGGTAGCTGAAACACAAGCAAAATGCATGAACCAAAAGCAGAACCCAGAGCATGTAATAACGTCTCCTTCATTTAATTCATTGGTGATAAAAGACAAGATTTGAAGAGTGGTGATATTTTCAGAATTATAAACTATATAACGCTTCAAATAATTCATTTTTATTATTATAATATTAAAATATAAAAATTATATGAATTTGAGTTGTCAAATATCATTTTTCGGATTTTAAATATTATCATTTATGACTTAATTATAATCCACGGTTGTGGTTGTGGTGCTGCTTTCAAGGATTACTGTTTCATACCAAATGGTGCTAGTATCAATAACCATTTTTTTCTTTTCGTAAAGGACAAAATTTAATTTCATTTTAATGTTTTGTTCAAGAAATTTGTGTGTGTATTATCAAAGTTATAAAGTGTGAAGTTTTTCCTCCTAACAATTCGTGAATGAATTGTGTTTATATGTGATGATAATTAAATTTACATGTATAAATATATAAATTATTTATATAAAATTAATCATTAAAAATTTTAATAAAATAATTAATAATATTAGAAAATCAAATAAAATATTTTAATTATATTGAATATAAATATTTATCATATTTATGATAACGAGAAAAAGAATAAAGGTTAAAATAAATTATATTTAAATATAAAATAAAGGAATAAATAGTTAATTATTATAAACATAAATAAAGGTGATTTTAAAAATAAGGAACTAAGGAAAAGATGGATGTGGACAAAATGAATAGACGAGAGTTGAGAAGAATGTGAAAAGAAGGTCAACGTCTGATGTCAAATACTCAATTTTCTTGAATGGCCCTCTGTGACGGTGTTACTACTTACCAGCTCCCATCACCAAAATTTTCCCTTTTCTATAAACATATTTGGTTAAATAATCTTTTAATAAATTCATTTCTATTCTTTATAAATCTTTCACCATGTTTTATTTCCAACATTTCATAAGTGTATTAAGTTGTTAAAGAGTAATTTTATATTTTATTATATAAAATGTACTTAAAAAAAATATTAACAATATTTCTGTTCTATTTAAGATGTAGATTTTTGTTTTCAACGTTAAACCAGATACAGGTAGAAATATTTGTAAGAGGGTTGACTTTAAAAGTTATGATTAAGAAATAATTTAAATTTTCACATGCATGACATATGAAAGAAATTTAATATATTTTTTACGAGTAGAATAAATATATAATATTGTTGAGTATAATATACTAATCAATTATTAATACAACAAATTAAAATTCAGGAAAATTAATTCTAGAAACTAGAGTCATTAAAATGTAATATTAAAATAAAATAAAATAAATAAAGGAAGGGAAATATATAATTTAAAGTATCTTAAATCAATAAAGTTAGTGGAATTAGATTTCACGTTTTGACTTAATAAAATTTTCTCTCAATGAAATTATTCTTAATTTTTAAGGATAAATTCTTTAAGTATGCGTTTGTAAGAAGGACTATATTATAGTTAAAGAAATGAGGGAACATATTTGAGAAAAAAAAATGGGTGTTTGTTTTTATTAATTTGAACTACCATAAATTATTTAGAGAATAATTCAGTGAGAAATACCTACAAAGGTGCAAATAAAATAATAGAATGAAATTGTAAAATATTTTTAAGACTTGCAAAGATTCTTAAATAAAAAGATCAAGATTTATTATATTTTCATATAGATCTTTGTCTTCTTAAATTATAAATAGGTGTTTTATCTCATTTTATTCAATCCCAAACAATCATTTTTAAGATTTGTAAAGATTCTTAAACAAAATAATCAAAATTCACTATACTCCCATGTAGATTTTTGTTCTCTTTAATTATAGAGAGATGTTTTATCTTATGGTTAAACAACCTCAACCAATCATCTTTAAGGCTTACAGAGATTCTTAAACAGAATGATCCAGATTCCCTACACTCTCACATAGACCCTTGTCTTCTTTAATTATAGATAGGTATTTTATCTTATCCTTATCGAATCTCAAACAATCATCTTTAAGACTTGAAGAGATTCTTAAATAGAATAACTAAGATTCACTACACTCCCATATGGAACCTTGTCTTCTTTAATTATAAAGAAGTGTTTTATCTTATCCAACCTCAAACAACTATCTTCAACATTTATAGAGATTCTTAAACAAAAATATCAAGATTCACTACACTCACACATGAACCATTGTCTTCTTTAATTATAGAGAGGTGTTTTATCCCACCATTATCCTCCCTCAAACAACCATCTTCAAGACTTAAGAGATTCTTAAACTAAATGACCAAGATTCACTACATCCTCAAATAAACTCTTGTCTTCTTTCATTATAGAGA